GTTGAGGGTTAAGGGCTTGATAGAGTCTTGGATCGCATCACATGAAGATGCTTCTCGTCGCTTTCCGACATTTCCCTCCAAGGAGGCTCATGGTACTTAGTAACCAATTATAAGGTTTAGGGTTTAGGGTTTTTGGTTTAGGGTTTAGGGGTACGTACTAACTAATTATAACTGTACTTCTAACTGTACTTCTAACCATATTAGGGCACCCAGGGGCCTCAAAAAGTGGGTTATGAGTACACAACTATGATTAGTGACTAAGTACCCTGAACCTCCAAGTAGGCCTGCAGAAGTTTTCCACGGTTAGACCCTTTCTCTTGGCATCCCCTAAAGCCATCGTTTTCGTCGACTGTTGTGGTTAGACCCTCTCTCTTGTCAGCCCCTGCAGAAACATGGCGAGAAAAAAACGAGAGAGTTCTTGGGGAATGGCGAGCGGCAGCGAAGAAATCGAAGAAGGTCGTGGGCAATGGCGGGTGGCAGTTCGCGGCGGCGTGGCAACTCTTATTCCCCACGAAGCAACCCCCCGTTGCCCTTGAACTTGTCGCCATGGCCCCACGAACCCTAAACCCTAAACTCTAAACCCTAAACCCTAAACCCTAAACGCAGGGCAAGAGAGGTTTAGGCTTTTCGTGAGTGCTGAAGCAAGCGTATGCACTCCACTGCGGCGCCTGAGGCTTTCAAGGAAGGCGTCCGCCTCCTCCACGGAGGGGACGATGGTCTCCTGGCAGCTTTTTGGGGAGGGGCGAAAAGCAATTCTGGCAGGGTTTATAAGGTTTGGGGTTTAGGGTTTAGGGTTTAGGGGTTTAGGGGTTTAGGGTTTAGGGCTTAGGGCTTAGGGTTCAGGGTTTGGGGCTTCGGGGCAGCTCTGGCAAGGTTTAGGGTTTGCTTTGAGAGCTCACCTGGACGCCCACACAGTACCCCCAATAAGAGCCCAACAATCTGAGGGCAGTTACATGGTCCCTTAACTCGGGCCCTTTAAAGGGGACCCCTTAGAAACCCTCTACAACCCAAGGGCCCAATCTTAGGGGTAGTTGCATGGTCCCTTCGCAGGGGCCTTAAACGGTGACCCCTCATATGCCCGAATTGTACAAATCAGGGGCCCTATACTTCGGAACCCGCTTTAAGGAGGTAAGGGACCATGTTGACGGCCCATGGGTTTAGGGTTTAGGGTTTAGGGTTTAGGGTTTAGGGTTTAGGGTTCCCTTAACCCGAAACTGAGACCACGCCCACCCTCAGCATTAAGACAAAAGACACACGAGTAGTTGTATTTGGGGGAGTCTGGGTCAGGCTCAGGGATAGGGTGGCTAGCTTCGAAGGCGCTCTGCTGTGAATACCTGCATTTTCCAAAACCCGAAACCCTAGGCTTAGAACCTACCTACAAGGTTTTCTAAGTCCCCTAAGTCCTCTACGCAGGGTATAAGTAGACTTATCATAGGGCTTCCTGGCAGCCCCGTAACCACATTATGATAAGGGCATCCGTTTTGGGGGTTGGTTACTTTATCAGGGAACCAAGGACCAAAAACAAGGGTCAAGGCTACCACTGGGCTACTATAAGGGTTGGAAGTACCCATGAACCTCCAAGTAGTCTACAGATACCCAAAGCCCTCAACTCCTGCACCCTTGAAACACTCCGCCGCTCCTAAACCCTCAACCCTAAACCCTAAACCCTGAACCCTGAACCCTAAACCCTGAACCCTGAACCCTAAACCCTAAACCCTAAACCCTAAACCCTAAACCCTAAACCCTAAACCCTAAACCCTAAACCCCAAACCCTAAACCCTAAACCCTGTGTGCATCCTAGGAGCCGGCCAGGGAGACCCAGCGGTCGCCTGCACGAAGCGGACGATGCCCACCTGGGAGGTTTAGGGTTTAGGGTTTAGGGTTTAGGGTTTAGGGTTTAGGGTATAGGGTTTAGGGTTTAGGGTTTAGGGTTTAGGGTTTAGGGTTTAGGGGGTAAAAGTTCAGGTTTAGGGTTCAGGGTTTAGGGTCGTGGGGCTTCAGGGCCTTGGGGTTTCGGGCTTTAGGTCTAGGACGTGGTTCTGAGGTTTAGGGCTTTCGGGATGGGACTCGGGGGTGGAGGGTGTTAGGATTTGGGGGGGTTCAGGATTTGGGGGGTCTAAGGTCTGAAAGGGCCTGTAGGATTTAGGGTTGGTCTGCCGGGTTCGGGTTTCGAGTTTCGGGTTTCGGGTTTCGGGTTTCGGGCCCCTAGAAACGGCGTAAATACATCTGCAGTCCCCCCCCCGGCCCGCCCCCCACGGACTACCAGTCCTTAACAGGGATTATAATACCCCCTATTATAATCCCGATTACAGACTGTTAGTATAAGGGGGAACATCTCAAACCCGAAGCCCTAAACCCCAAACCCTAAACCCTAAACCCTAAACCCTAAAACCTAAACCCTAAACCCTAAAACCCAAACCGTGCAATTGGCAACCTCAGCCTTGTCCCCTCCAAGCGAGGCAAAGCGACCATGGCGTTACCAAGGAAGCCATGCGGATGCAGAACTGTGGCCTCAGCTTGTGCACGGGTTTCGGTTTTAGGGTTTAGGGTTCAGGGTTTAGGGTTTAGGGCTTAGGGTATAGGGTTCAGGGTAGTAGGGTTGAGGGTTGAGGGTGAAAGTTTCGGACTTCCGTGGACAAGAAGACGCACCGAAAATTGGGCCGGGCGGAGAGAGAGGACAAGGGAGGGGTGGGGTGGCCCTCCTCTGAGCCACCCGAAACTGCTCTTCGCTTCAGAACCTCCCCACCACCTAAACAACAAAGAATGATTATCCTTATATTGCCCTTATAAGGACGAATATGTTTTTTTCATGTTGGTGTGGTTCCTAAACAAGTACTAAGCTCGAACCCAACCCTACACCGAACTGCACGACCAGCGGCGCTGCCACGAGCAACCAGGAAAAGAAGGTCACCAATCTCATACCTGACAGGGTAGAGTTTGCGGTTTAGGTTACGGCTCTGAGGGTTTAGGGTTGAGGGGTCAGGGGCACAGGTCATTCACCCCAAGCCCTAACCCAAGTCATGACGGTAAAGTATTAAGGGATAGGACGGACCCCTAGAAGGGACCCTTAATCTTATTCCCTTATAGTACCCCTCCATAACCCTTATATCATACATATACATATACACACACACCTTATATAGCCCCTGTATACCTAAGTAGCCCCCTAAGAAACCCCCGAAAGAACCCTTAAAGTCCCTTCTCAGGGTCCCTTGAAAGTAGGATCCCTTCTGGCGCCCCTGCTGCCGGCCCTCCGGAACAGCAACGAAGACGGGACCACCAACTAGCCATGGACGCATTCCAAGTGCGGGCTCCCCTAGCCGGGCCAGGGGTCTGCGCAACAAAATTTCCGAGTGAACCAACTGGGGGCTTCAGGCCAGCCGAACCCTTAAGGTCCTAAACCCTAAACCTTAAACCCTAAGCCCTAAAGTTTAGAGCTTAGGGTTTAAGGTTTAGAGTTTAGGGTTTAGGGCTTAGGGTGTAGGGTTTAGGGCTTAGGGTTTCAAACCCTAAACCCCAAGTATGCTTAACCGCTTCACCATAAAACTCCCCTCAGGGTCAGCTTCCAAGACTGCAAAGTCTGGTGCAACCAACCGCTTCTGCAGTACCAGATTCTCTTGTTGCTTTTTTTGTTCCAAACTTCAGACCACGGGTCGGAGACCCTAAACCCTAAACCCTAAACCCTAGGGTTAGGGTGGGGTTAGTGCCATGTCGGACCATGGGCCCTTAGCACGGCCCCTTTACCCTTGTCTAGACGGATCCGAAGTGGGCCCTTGATATGCATAGTGACATAGTGTACATAAGGGCTAGATAACCCTAAACCCTAAACCCTAAACCCTAAACCCTAAACCCTAAACCCTAAACCCTAAACCCTAAACCCTAAACCCTTAAACCCTAAACACAAATTAAGGGGCCCAGACTTGGAACCCCAAGCCAAGGTGCGACAATGCCAGAAGGCGCTTTACATGTCGCATGGATGGTATGGGTGCGTCCTCGGCCGGGTTTAGGGTTTAGGGTTTAGGGTTTAGGGTTTAGGGATTAGGGTTTAGGTTTGTCTCACAGGGTTTAGGGTATTTAGTGTACTCAGGGTATTTAGGGTATTTAGGGTATTTAGGGAATTTAGGCTGTTTTGGGGTATTTAGGGTATTTAGGGTCTTTAGGGTTTAGGCTTTAGGGTTGTCTCACGGCTCAGGGTTTGAGGCTTGAGGTTTAGGGGTGTAAAGTTTAGGTTTACGGCCTGTAAGGCTTAGCTAGAGCTTAGGCCCCCAGATACCCTAAACAGCCTAAATAACCCTAAACAACCCTAAATACCCCAAATACCCCAAATACCCCAAATACCCCAAATACCCCAAATACCCCAAATACCCCAAATACCCCAAATACCCTAAATACCCTAAATACCCTAAATACCCTAAATACCCTAAATACCCTAAATACCCTAAATACCCTAAATACCCTAAATACCCTAAATAGGGTTTAGTGGTTTGGATTTTCGGTTTCGGGCCTGTCAGGTTTAGAGCTTAGCGTTTGCGGGTTTCGGTCGTATCGTTCCGAGTCTAGGTTTAGCCTGATTTCCCCTAAACCCTAAACCCTAAACCCTAAACCCTAAACCCTAAACCCTAAACCCTAAACCCTAAGCCCAAAAACCCCAAAACCCTAAACCCTAAACCCTAATTCGGGAGTTATAGGTATTCTGTGTCAGCTCTTGCAAAGGTATAGAAGGGGATGCAGCGACAACCTTGGCCATGTCCTGGACCCTGGGTGTAGGGTTTAGGGTTTAGGGTTTAGGGTTTTCGGGTTTCGGGTTTCGGGGTTAGGGTTCTTCTGTATCGCTGCCATGAAAGCCACCATCGCGGCTGCGGCTTTCTGGATCCTCGTCTTGGCCGCCCCGGCCGTGTTCGGAGCCGAAACTGCGCAAAGTACGTCGCTCCGTACTTTTTTCAGGCCCGCGTCCCGGAACGCGTCCACCAACGCGTCCAAGTTGCTCACCGTCGTCTCCCTCAACAGTATGCCAGTTGCGGCATGATGTTGGCGTCCGCCGGGACGGAAAGGTTCGCCCCTGGCAGTTTCAGGGTGCGGGGTTTGAGTTGCGGGGGTACGGCTTTCAGGCTTTGACAGCTTAGGGTTTAGTGCAAGGGCAGTTACATGGTCCGTTAGTATGGGAAGGGTTCTGCAGTATGGGCCTTTGGGAGTTATAGGTTGTATATGAGGGGTGTATAAGGGGTCCCCACTTAAGGGCCCGCACTAAGGGACCATGTGGCTACCCAAAGTTACCCTAAACCCTGAAAACTAACCCTAAACCCTAAACCCTAAACCCTAAACCCTAAACCCTAAACCCTAAACCCTAAACCCTAAACCCTAAACTAAGCGACCACGCTTTCGGCCCTAAGGGGTCGGATCGGTCCTGGAGGCGCAAGGAGAAAAGCATCGTCATATCCGGCCTCCACGGTTTTCTGGCTGGTTCTTCATAGGGAATTTAGGGTTTTTAGGGTTTTTAGGGTTTAGGGTTTAGGGTTTAGGGTTTAGGGTTTAGGGTTTAGGGTTTAGGGTTTAGGGTTTAGGGTTTAGGGCGACCCTCTTCAACCCCATAGGGAGAAAAAAACAAGCTAAGAATATCCACCTGGTGCTTATGGCGCCCCCCCCCCCCCCACCCACCCCCCTTCCCAGAACTGAAAGCACCTACTGTGCTTCAACCCTTGGGCGACCCCAGGCGACACAACAAGGGCGTACTTGGAGGTTCATGGTACTTAGTAACTAATTATAACTGTACTTCTAACTGTACTTATAAGCCCCTTAAGTGCCCTAATATGGTTATAAGTACAGTTCTAAGTACAGTTACAATTAGTTACTAAGTACCATGAACCTCCAAGTAGAGTCTACGACCCACCATTTTCAGGCTCGAAGGACATGACAACATCCCCTGTCTCCCGCCACACACTGCAAGAGCTAGGGCACAAGTGGTGTAGCCCTAAACCCTAAACCCTAAACCCTAAACCCTGAACCCTAAACCCTAAACCCTAAACCCTAAACCCTAAACCCTAAGCCCTAAACCCCTCCAGCCCGCAACTTGCCTGGGACTCTTCCTCTTGGGGACTCTTCGGCGCTGCCTACGAATTGATTGTGGAACATACCTGCAACCATGAAGTCGGATCCCTATTCTTATTTATGGCGCGTATTCCCTAAACCGTAAATCCTCCTTCAGGCTTCCAGGAAGGTTCAGGATTCAGGGTTCCGGGTTGCGGGCTGGGGGTTTCAGGACTTTAGTGTAGCCCTGAACCCTCAACCCTCAACCCTAAACCCTAAACCCATGTTCTTTTGGGGACTGGGCGCTATGGAGCTCCTTCCCAAGATCGTGGCAATGCATGTCTGTTGCAGGGCCATGATGCTGACACGCGGGGTTCGGGTCCGGATTGCACCCTAAACCCAAAACCCTAAACCCTAAACCCTAAAAACGCGCGGAGGCCGGCCTCTTGGCCAATTCTCGCACGCCCAGACGCATGGTCTTGAACACCTCCTGGAAGGCAGGGGAAGGAGCACGAGGCCAGCAAGGGGTTTAGGGTTTAGGGTTTAGGGTTTAGGGTTTAGGGTTTAGGGTTTAGGGTTTAGGGTTTAGGGTTTAGGGTTTAGGGTTGACCAAAACTAAACCTTAGCCTTGAGCCCTCAAGCCCCCGAAAGCGCAGGCCCACAAACTCCGAAACCGCCCGAACCCAAGGAATCCTAAACGGCTTCAGCTCAGGATGTCCCCCTTGTACTAACAGACCCTTGGTTGGCTGAGTTCAGAAGCCCCAAAAAAGTTTACACTTTCAGTTCTATAGGGGATTACAGTAGCCAAAAAGTGTAAAGTGTGCTCACTCAGCTACGAACTGAATAGGGATTACAAATAGGGGGTACTAGAATCCCTATTAAGGACTGTTAGTATAAGGAAGAACATCCCAAGCTTTTAGCCGAACGGTGTGTGGGAGGAGTCACTTCGACCTTGCAGGCGGGCTTGAAGCACGTGAGGGCTTAGGCTTAATTTAGGGTTTAGGGTTTAGGGTTTAGGGTTTAGGGTTTAGGGTTTAGGGTTTAGGGTTTAGGGTTTAGGGTTTAGGGTTTAGGGCTAAGGCTTTGAAATCCAAGGAAGCAAGTTCCTCCTGAGCCCTCAACAAACCCCTACACCCTAAACCCCAAACCCTACACCCTGGATCCTAAACCCTAAATCTTAAACCCTGAACCAAAAACTTTCCGCAACCCCAGAATTACACAGGCTCCTCAACGATCTGGTCGTTCAGTGGCTTGCTCTTTAAGGAGAGGTCCACTCTCACCAAGGACTCCTCTTCTGAGGGAGGGGGGGGGGGGGTTAGGGTTTAGGGTTTAGGGTTTAGGGTTTCGGGTTTCGGGTTTAGGGTTTAGGGTTTAGGGTTTAGGGTTTAGGGTTTAGGGTTTAGGGTTTCGGGTTTCGGGTTTCGGGTTTGGGGTTTGGGGTTTGGGGTTTAGGGTTTAGGGTTTCGGGTTTTTTTTCAAGCTTTGGGGGTTATCAGGGTTGGAGGGATTAGCAGGGTCTCGGGGTTTACGTGCGGCCTAGCATCCCACACTTCTATAAAGCTTCAAGAAACTCCATCAACCTGATGAACCCCCTGAACCCCAAGAAACCCCTATAAACCCATTGAAGCAAATCCAAAATATGCCCAAAAAAACACCTACAAGCCCGCTTGAGGCAAACTCCTATAATGCCCTATAAACCCTAAACCCTAAACCCTATATGAACCCCCAACGAACGCCGAAAAAAAGCCCTACAAACCCCTACAATGAACCCTGTATGAGCCCCACAGCCCTGAAACCCTGAAGCCTTACTACTAGGGTTCAGGGTTCAGGGTTCAAGGTTTAGGGTTTAGGGTTTAGGGTTTAGGGTTTAGAACCCCTTACACTTTCTGGGGTCCCTATTTTAAGTGACTCCTACTATTTGGGAGGTCTATAAGGGGGTCCCCTATTTTCGTAAACCCCCATCTAGGGATAACCCCTTATCAGCGCAATATAGGGATTAGAACCCCTAAACCCGAAACCATAAACCATAAACCCTAAACCCTGAACCCTGAACCCTAAAACCTAAACCCTAAACCCTAAACCGTTTCTTAAGCAAATAGTAGCTTACGGCGCCTCCTCTACCCGGCACTGCAAAGAAAGGCTCGGCGTGACCTCACAGAAGCCAGAGCGGTTGGGATCTCGGGGCTGCGTTTAGGGTTTAGGGTTTAGGGTTTCGGGTTTAGGGTGTGGGGTTCGGGGTTTAGGGCTTAAACTAAGTTACCAGGATAATGGTACTTCTTGAGGAACTTAACGGCATCAAGTCCTAAGCGATGGCTATCTAACAAACAATGTGCTGCTCTTTGTATGATAGCGCGTAATCGCCAACTTGAACCTTGCTGCATAGGGTTAGGGTGTAGGGTTTAGGGTTTACGGTTTAGGTTTTTTGCTTTTTTTTTTTTTTTTTTGGGGGGGGGGGGGGGGGTTGGTTACTTTGTAAGGGAACCTGGAACCAGAAAAAGGGAGAAGGGTACCCCTGGGCTACCAAGCTTGTTCTTCCGCTGCAAAAGGGAGTGCCAAGTCCTCTGCTTGGTCCAACGCTTGCTATTCAAAATTCGGGCCCCTACTTGGAGGTTCATGGGTACTTCTAACCCGAACTGTAACTGTACTTATAGGCCCCCTCAAAGTAAATCTGGGTTCCCCAGTAACCTAGGAGAAAAGAGGGCACCCTTTTTGGTTTATAGGGGTTGATATGGGATAAGGACCCAATAAAAAGGGAATAAGGGTACTACTGGGCGGTTCGAAGTCGACTTCTGACTGGCGTCATCAGTACCCATGAACCTCCAGCTGCTGTACATTCACGGCTCTCATGGGTATCCGGCTTTAGCAGGATCGACTTCATGCACCTCACCTGGCCGCCAGGTCTGATCGAACCAGGCTTGCCCGGGTCCGTAGAGTCGGAGGCAGCCCCACCACATCTTCCCAGGGAGCGTCCTTGATTTTAGGGTTTAGGGTGGCAGCCCAGTAGCCATGATCTGAGAAGGGTACCCTGTTTGGGTTTGGCTTCTTTATCAGGGAACCTTCAGCCAAACGGGTACCACAGGGCTACCAAGCGTCTGAATCCAGTTTCCCTCCTTGCCTGCGGGTGCGGAGGGAGCAAACCAGACGGTCGTGGAACCATCCGGGTTCTGCTTCATGTCCGCGTGGGAGAGGGAATTCCTGACTCATGGTTGGTTGGGATAGTATTAAAACTTTACATTCATATTCCTTTTTGGGTTTAAGTACCCTTAAAGATGTAAAATGCTTCCCAACTATGACAAAGATTCCGGCAGGGGAAGAGCTGGCTGGTCTTCAGCATCGAGCGTGTCTGCGTGTCGTACACCACCACCGACCAAAAGTCCTTGGCGGGAACGTTCGGGGGTAGCGTGAGACTGTAGCACTTTGCACCATCCAAGTACTTGTGCTTGGCATCCTTGCCTTGGTAGCCCAGTAACCAGATTTTAATAAGGGCATTTTGGTTGTTTAGGGTTTAGGGTTTAGGGTTTAGGGCTTAGGGCTTAGAATACTTGATAAGGGAACCCAGAGCAAAAAAAGGGTAAAGGGTGCCACTGGGCTACCAAGTTACAAACCAAGGCATACTGCGAGCCCCGATCCACCATCTTCATGACCATCGCCGGCGTGTTCCCAGTAGCGAAGTAGAAGAACCTGGTCCTGGCGTCCGCGTTTCTGCCACCCTTGCCGTCCTCCACCATAGCGTTAAGTAGGATTCTCGGCTTAGGGTTTAGGGCTTAGGGCTTAGGGCTGAGGGCTTAGGGTTTAGGGGTTTAGGATTTCTGGGCTTTGAGGTTTTCCGTCTTCATCTCCTCCACCAGCCATCTGTAGTCCCCACCATCGAAGGCCGTCACCCACTCACTGTCCTCATCATAGATCCTTGGGTCTTGGGGTGGTTCTGTGGGCCCTTCATATGATCTCTTACCCTAAACCCTAAACCCTAAACCCTAAACCGTAAACTTCATATGGTCTCTTACCTCCTCTAAAGGGTTCTGAAGTATTGACCCTCAGGTTGTATAGGGCATATAAGGGGCATATAAGGGCTCCCCTTTTCAGGGCCCATACGAAGGGACCATGTAGCTACCCTGAGACTTGGGGGGGGGCGGGGGGGGGCAGATGAACCCTAAAGGGGCTTAGCATACCTCAATAGGAGTTATAGTAGTCTAGGGTAGACGACCCCCCCCCCCCCAATTTCAGGGCTCATTCGGACCCTAACCAAACCCTAAACCCTAAACCCTAAACCCCAAACCCCAAACCCCAAACCCTAAACCAAGGCTCCGGGCAGTCTTCGAGCGCGGGGCGAAGGAGAGGGCGCGGGAGGTTGCGTTGCCAATCGCCGCCGCCTCGGTGAGGAGGGCCTTCAGCCGCGCGTCCGGCTCAAACGGCCGGCCCTTCCTTGGGTTTAGGGTTTAGGGTTTAGGGTTTAGGGTTTAGGGTTTAGGGCTTCGGGATATTCCGAAGTGATGATCCTCTTTAAACCCCCCAGAAAGGCAGAAAGGCATCAACAACAAAACTCCCAAAAGGGCCCCAGTTTCTTTCTAAGCCCAACACGGGGGAACGTTTAAAAAGAGCATATCCTGAAGCTACTATTTGCTTTAGAACTCCCAAAAAAAGAGAAAGTAATCCCTGCATTGCCCTTATAAGGAAGAATACTTTTTGTTGTGTCGCGGGTTCTTAAGCAAATAGTAGAAATGGGCCCAAACCCTAAACCCTAAACCCTGAACCCTAAGCCCTAAACCCTAGGCCCAGCTTCATGATGCCGATGGCGGTGAGGTTGCCGCGGAGCTCCGGATCCATAAAGTCAATGGGCTCATACTGGATCACAGCATTGACCTCCTTGGCGTCGATTTATAGCAGTATTTAGGGTTTAGGGTTTAGGGTTTAGGGTTTAGGGTTTAGGGTTTAGGGTTTAGGGTTTCCTTAAACCCCAAACCCTAAACCCTGAACCCTAAACCCTAAACCCTGGTAAGGCCCTCGGCTACCGGAGCTCCTCGTAGAAGGCAAAATCGTTGGAGTGAATCGTGTTCATGATCTTTCCGGTGCAAAGGATCGCCTCCATCTTCCTTACTTGGAGGTTCATGGGTTTAGGGTTTAGGGTTTAGGGTTTAGGGTTACCTCCATCTTCCTTGCTGGGAGGTTCTTGGGGGCCAAAAAAACCAGAGAAACACAAGGATCCTACGATTAGGGTACTCTACGGGCCTTTCTGACGGGGTTCCGCAAAGCCTGGTTTGTAGGATCCTTATGTTTATGTGGTTTTTTTTGGGCCGCAAGGTTCCTGGTACTTATAAGTAGGGTTTAGGGTTTAGGGTTTAGGGTTTAGGGTTTAGGGTTTAGGGTTTAGGGTTTCGGGTCATAAGCAAGGCAACTAGACTTCTAACCCTATCTAGGATACTTCTAACCCTGCTTGTAAGTACACATGAAACCGCAGGTAGCTCTCCAGCATCGGAGGGGAAGGTTACACTTTGGGAAATGTTGATAGGGAGTACAATAATACCCCCCAGGCCCAAAAAAAGGCTAAAGTTAAACCCGTAAACCCTAAACCCTAAACCCTAAACCCCAAACCCCAAACCCTAAACCCCAAACCCTACTCTGCTACTAAGCTGCGGTGGGCTGCCAGCGCTGGCAAGAGGATAGATTTTCAGCTCGTTTTGCCACATCTGAGCCGCATGATCGGGCTTGCCGTCCTTCCAGAACCCTAAACCCCTAGCCCCAAACCAACCCTAAACCCTAGTCCCTAAACCCTAAACCCTAAACCCTAAACCCTAAACCCTAAACCCTAAACCCTAAAGCCTGCCGTCCTTCAAGAACCCGCGCAGGGCGACCCAATTCGTGAAGCTCGGCGACTTGGCCACGAAGTAGCCCTCAGGAACCTTCCCATCATAGCCGGGGGGGAGGTAGAGGTATTTAGGGTTAGGGTTTAGGGTTTAGGATTTAGGGTATAGGGGTTAGGGTTTAGGGTTTAGGGTTTGGGGTTTAGGGTTTAGGGATACGACGAACCTTCCCATCATAGCCAGGGGGGAGGTAGAGGTACTTCCCCCCGGCCCCGCGATCCGGTCCGGGAGCACCCATGTCTCCCACATAGCGGAAGAAGGCATCATTGACCTGGGATGGCCCCTAACAACCCTCTGACAAGGCAGGGGTTTAGGGTTTAGGGATATTCCTACATATGGTGTAGGTTCCTGGTTCTGATGCTCTTAAGCCCAAAAAGGGAAAAGACAAAATGTCCTAAGGGCCTGGCGAGTAACCAATCCTGGACCCGCGCCGGGTGGCATCTCGATGACGGTGGGCCCATCGCGATTGAGATCCAGGAGGGACATGCAATAGACCGTATCAGTATTTCCCGTGAGGAACAGCGATCTGCAGTCCATCAAGCCTTCCATGATCTTAAAGGATATGCTGATGTTCTCTGTACATACATAATATTATGTATATACATGTAGATGTATATGTATATGTATATGTATATGTATATATGTATGTGTGTGTGTGTGTGTTTTGTATATACCTTATACGGTATCATCCTATGTACCCATGTACCCAAGTAGCCTCTACACTACCCCCTAAGGTATCTTACAAGGGTCCCTCCCTTTACGCAGATAGTATTGGGTTGGGCTACCCTAAACCCACACCCCTAAAACCCTAAAACCCTACAGCCAAAAACCCTAAAACCCTAACCCTAAACCCTAAAGCCGAAAAACCTTAAAACCCTAAAACCTAAACCCTAAACCCCCAGATGGGCCTTCCATGATCACGACCCTAAACCCTAAACCCTGAAACCCTGAACTCCACACCCTAAACCTGCCATCATGATCATGAGCTTAAACCCGAAACCCCAAACCCCAAACCCTAAACCCTAAACCCTTCGGCCCTAGAACCCCAAACCCCCCTAATGTGTGGCCTTGCATGATCATGACCTTGTGGGCCGCATCCGCCCCGGCTTCGACCATGCTTCGCCTCATGGCCTCCAACGAAGCCACGGGCACCATGTCCAAAAACGCCTGAACCTCAGAGGGCCCCTTGAGAGACTCGGACAAGGTAGGGTTTAGGGTTTAGGGTTTAGGGTTTAGGGTTTAGGGTTTAGGGTTTAGGGTTTAGGGTTTAGGGTTTAGGGTTTAGGGTTTAGGGTTTCGGGTTTAGGGTTTAGGGTTTCGGGTTTAGGGATTAGGGTTTAGGGTTTAGGGATATCCCTACAGATGGTCCTCTTGAACCCGACAAAGGGAAAATGTAAAGAAAGCAAAAGAAACACAACCCGATACAGGGAAAACATGGAGGAAAAAAACACAGGGCCTACCTAGGAACGCCCCTTGATCTGTCGAGGTTGTCGTACACCTTCTGGACCGTTGCCTTGACTGGCTTCCCTCCTAAGAGTTTAACTTTTAGGTTCCTTAGTGTAGTAACCCTAAACCCTAAACCCTAAACGCTAAACCCTAAACCCAAAAGGTTAAAGTCCCAAGAGCCAGCCAGAAGAAAGCCAAGTTGCCTCATCCGGGAGGCCGTCCACAAAAGTCAACTTCCCAAGGTGCGTCTCATACTCGTCCTTGCTCACAAGTCCCTGGCCCTAAACCCTAAACCCTAAACCTTAAACCCTAAGCCCTAAACCCTAAACCCTAAACCCTAAACCCGTCCTTTGTGGTAATGGACGCTGGGACCGCGCCGAGGTCCATGGAGCTCATGGCTACAGCGCACGGGCGCTATGCTTCAGGCTAGAAGTGGCACTGCCTGCGGTACTGAGGAGGTAAGGGTTTAGGGTTTAGGGTTTAGGGTTTAGGGTTTAGGGTTTAGGGTTTAGGGTTTAGGGTTTAGGGTTTAGGGTGTAGGGTGTAGGGTGTAGGGTTTAGGGTTTAGGGTTTAGGGTTTAGGGTTTAGGGTTTAGGGTTGCAAAACGACGGTGTGAGAGCAAGTATCCAGGGTCCCAGGCACGCAGGCAATGTGTGGGGACTGTCGCTAGACAGCCTCTGTAAAGTTCTCTGCGAACATGGGGGGTTTCCGAAATTAGGGGGTACCTTTTGGGGTCCTTATTATAAGGAAATCCTACTATTTGGGGGTCGATTTTATGGGTCCCTTATATTCGTAAACCCTCATATGATCGTTCAGGCCCCATAAAGAAGAAATCCAAAAGGCATTGCTAGATCATCACGGTGTGTCAGGGTTGATGATGACCATAAATTGGGAACCCTAAACCCTAAACCCTAAACCCTAAACGCTAAAACCTAAAACCTAAAACCTAAAACCTAAACCCTAAACCCTAAACCCTAAACCCTAAACCCTAAACCCTAAACCCTAAACCCTAAACCCTAAACCCTCACACCAACAGTCCAAGAGGGATTATAAGGATACTATAATCCCTTCTAAGGACTGCTAGTACACGGGGGAACATCCTAAAACCTAAGCCCTAAGCCCTAAGCCCTAAGCCCTAAACCCTAAACCCTAAACCCTAAACCCTAAACCCTAAACCCTAAACCCTAAACCCCAAGCCAAGTGCAAAGTTGAGAGCAAAGCCAACTGGCGGGGCCCGCGCGATGGGTTCCCACGAGGGCAGCGGAGCCGACTCAGGCTTCGAGTCCTCTCACGGTTTTTTGCTGGGTTTCAAGTAAACGGTTGAAAGGGTTGAAGAGGTTGAAAGGGTTGACAGGGTTGAAAGGGTTGAAAGGGTTGAAAGGGTGCTGGGCTTAGGTGGGCAGGGTCGGCTTCGAGTTTTGGTTTAGGGCCTCAGGATCAGAGATTTCGGGTTGGGGATTGCCAGCCACCTTCACTGCATGACAGGTCTCAGGGTCATTTTTAAATTGGACTTATCTAGGCTCCTTACCAAAGCTCACAACGCGCTGGTCCGGGATCATTTCTTTAACTTCCACGTTTCCGCTAGGTTGCCCAGTAACCTAGGATGAAAAAGGGTGCCTTTTTTTGCTTAAAGGCGTTTATAGGGGAACCTAGAGCCCCCAAAAAGGGAATAAGGGCACTACTGGGCATCCTAGTCCGGAATCACGTCCAGCTTTGCTTGACACTGGTACTCATGAGAATCGTGAGGCCGGGTTCAGTCCCAGGCTTCTATCTCGCACAGATCACTTAACCCTAAACCCTACAGGGTTTAGGGTTTAGGGTTTAGGGTTCCTAAACCCTAAACCCTACACCCTAAACCCTAAACGCCCCAAATCCTAAACCCTAAACTGGTTTACAGCCAGCTGTGTATGATGTTCGGAGGCTTTCAGTCGGAGTCCCAAGTGCGAGGCGCTTGTTAGCTGCGATTGGGTGTCCAGCGTAGCTCTGGGGCAGGGCCCTAAACCCTAAACCCTAAACCCTAAACCCTAAACCCTAAACCCTAAACCCTAAACCCTGAACCCCGCAAAAAGTTAACCTCTTATTTGAAATAGGATGATATAACCAAATAGGATAGTTAACCAAGGAGGGGTGCAGATTGTTGAGCCCTTGCGTATCCAAGTGCAGGGTGTGGGGAAGTACGATGCTCAGGGATTAGGGTCTGGTTCGGCTTGGATGCAAGACCTGCTTAGGGTTTAGGATTTAGGGCGTTTAGGGTTTAGGGTTTAGGGTTTAGGGTTTAGGGTGTCTCAATGAGTGGGCGCGCTGGTGCTGAAAGCACCCAGGCGCGCGCCCCGACTTGCATAAGCCCACCCCCGCTGGCGCTCCACCCTCGCCTTAACCTTTACGGGTTTAGGGTTCTTTTTGAACTCTGATCGTGCTTTTGTTATTTTTCTCTTGTCCATTGGCTGGGTTAAAAGCTCGGCATCGATGCAGATCAACTACCCTGAAGTTGCAGCCCTTAGGCATTGCAAGGGAGATATCTATCAATCGAGGGCTGCTGGAGGTTTGGGCTTGGGGCTGGCTGCCGCCTTCGCCCTCGGCGATGCTGCGTGCTGGGCGGGGGTTTGGAAAACTTGCTTGGAAGGGCGTGAAATCAAAGGTTTGGGCTTTCGCCATTTCTAATGTTGGGCTTAGATGTCCATCATTCGAGGGCTTCTGGGAGGGCCAAAAAGTCAAAGGTTTGGGATTGGGTTGGCTGCCGCCTTCGTCCTTGGTGATGCTGCGTCTTGCTTGACCCCCTCATTTGGGGTGTTTTTGGCTGGAATCAGTGAAGGCTCGGTTTTGATCAAAAATGCAGAAAACGAGAGCCCACCCAGAACCGTCGCTTGAGTACTAAAAAATCGCATTTTTAACTGGGGCCCGGGCCGATCCTGGGGTCCCCCTCATTTGGGGTGTTTTTGGGGGCAAACTTTCCCCTTCAAGGGAGGTCGGAGTTTTGAGCAAGGGGGGTCTCCCAACACTAAATTGCTTCCAAAATAAGAAAAGGTCGCCGGGGTCCGGTGACCCTTTGAAGGTCCCTTAGAAAAGCTCTTGAAGAGGCCAGATAAGGGCCTCCCAGGGGGGTTGCCAGGCAGGGGCTTCCCAGGCAGGGCAGGGCCTTCCAGACAGGGCCCAGGCAGGGCCTCCCAGGCAGGGGCCTCAGGGGCCTCCCAGGCAGGGAGGCAAGGACCTCCAAACAAACCCCTGTAGGGCCTCCCAGGGCCTCCCAGGCAGGGGCCTCCCAGAGCGGGCCTTTCAGGCAGGGGCTTGCCAGGCAGGGGCCTCCCGGGGGCCTCCCAGGCAGGGCCTCTCAAAGAGGCAGGATGCCCAATACGAGGAAAATTGCTGGGCTGCCTGCCTGGACAGGCTCTGGGTTCCTCTGGTCCACGAAAAACGACCACGGCTGGAGATGGGGCTCCTCTGGGAGGGGCCCTGAGAGACCTCACACAAGGAGGTTGCTGCGTTTTACCCGAAGGTTTCATTCTAGGGCGACCTGACGGGTTTCTCGCCAGCGACCTGCCGGGTCCACCGCGCAGCCCGCAGCTGCCTGCGGGACTGGAGCTCCGTCGCCCGCCGGAGGGCTTCTGGCTCCGGAGCTACCTCGCCTGCCGGCTTCGGTGCGTTCGCCCTGCTCGACGGCCCCGGGCTCACTCAGTTTAGGGTTTAGGGTTTAGGGTTAGGGTTTAGGGTTTAGGGTTTAGGGTTTAGGGTTTAGGGTTTAGGGTTTAGGGTTTAGGGTTTAGGGTTTAGGGTTTAGGGTTTAGGGTTTAGGGTTTAGGGTTTAGGGTTTAGGGTTTAGGGAACTCCGCAGCCCTGCCTGGAGGATCCAGGTGCCAGCCCAGCCATGTCCTGTCAGGATATGGGAGTTTACGAAAATAGGGGGACCCTTCCATGCCTCTTGAGGGTTTAGGGTTTAGGGTTTAGGGTTGAGGGTTGAGGGTTTAGGGTTTAGGGTTTAGGGTTTGGGGTTTAGGGT